ATTCATGACTCAACCCGGCAGGTCCAGGCCAACCTCCTTTCTTATTTTTTTTTAATTTTTTTTTCTATTGTTTTTTCAAAAAAGACCAGACCCAGCCCGGGCAAGACCCAACCCGAAAACGACCCGGCCCGAACACGGACCCGACACGAGTATAGGCGCGTGCCGGTTCAGGGTCTGGGTTTTCGAGCCCGGTGACCTGGCAGGCCGGGCCGGGCAGAGTTTTGGCCATGTCTACTTTAATATTCAGAATTTGAAAGTCACCCACGATGGGATGTGCTTGATATGAACCAATCCAGTCATGTCATTCGATTTTTCTCAACAATGTATCAAAAGTCCATCCAAAGAGAAAAGAAAGATTCAAAAACATGTATAGAGAACTTATTTCACTAGCAAGCATCAACATGTTACAAAAACGACACGGATTAAGTAACATGACATAATATACTGAAAACTGGGCAAGGAATCACCATTCATGCACCAATTATATAGCTATACCATGTAACAAAAATCACCCTAATTCTTCTCCAGAGACAGCAAATTTCAGACAAAACTAAGCACGAAATAACTATCCCAATTCCCCCAAATTTAAAACCCGGATGCCATATATTCATATACCAACAGCCTATAGTCCCCCTCAGCAGCAATAGTCAATCAGCTTCACCAAGTTAGTGTGTCTAAGTTGACCTAAATAATTGACCTCTCCCTGCAATTTAAGACCCTAATGGTGAGAAAACTGACTGCACCATCAGAATTTAAATGGAAAGTAAATAGAGAAGCATCAACTAGACATTTTTTTAATACAATTTCTCTGTTTCAGACTTTCAGGTAATGAAACATAAGTAATTAAACGTATTGCTCTTTCTTGAATCATATATGAGTTTGATTTGACACAAAATCAATTTGAAAAAAAAAAAATTAAATGATTAGTAAAATTTATGAGAACAAGTGTAATTAAAAATTTGATCACTTTTGAGATAAAAAAAAGAGTAGAATTAGTTGATGGAAGAAGAGAGCAAATGAGTGATTAGTGATAGTACAAAAATTCTATGGAGTCATCGGATGGTTTTCTTATGGGGCTATCCACCACTTAATGTATTGACACATGTCCAAAGTGTATTTATTGCAAGACACGTGTCAATACACTATTGCTGAATAAGTGTGAATGGCTCCATAAGCCGAGCCATCCGATGGCTCCATAGCAAAACTGAGTGATAGTATTTTAAAAGAAAATCCAAACAAAAACTGATTTCAAATAGACAATTCAGATATTTGGTAACTCTTATAACCATGAAAAAACTTTACCAGCCATTCCCGGTCCCCTTGTAAACTATGGGAATCGAGCTCCTTGATAGCGACTGTGGTTGACTTATAGCCTGACCTCACATTATCGTCTATAACTCCTTTATAGACAATACCAAAGCCACCATCAACAAGAACCTGATCCGGTCTGAAGTGCCTGGTGGCCAATTTCATCTCTTCATACGTGAAGATCTAAAGATCGCCATTCCCGGGATTTTGACGTAAATCTTTTCTGTTTCTGGGTATTATCAAGATTGTGTTTGAACTCCCAGAGTTCCCTTTCGAATGAGACGCATAACCTCCATACAAGCTAGAGCGCATCAAAGTGAAAAGAAATTAGCACATGGATCTTAAACTATACATTGCAATCACTAGAATTTGTGATTGCCAACTTTTGGCCAGAACCTAAAAAGGAAAAGCTTTTAGGTTTTCATATACACTTCTGATTCAGTATAACTCAATCGAAGCGTAAGAGTATGGAACGGTGTGCTTCTTTATATATCTGAAAATGTTTCAAGTCTGTCTTCTATTTTCAAACTACCGCCAACTTTTGATTCTCGATCGACATCTTTTAACAAAAGAAAGGAAATAATCTTATCAGGGTTGTATTGTTTCCACATAATAACTCCAAAAACATGCTGTAGTTATACCTACAAGATTGTTGAGTTCATTCTTTCAGAATTTCTTCGTCTCATTCTATAAGTGCAGTGGACTAGCATTGGCCACATATTAGAGCCTGGGAACTTTCATTTTCATATCATGTCATTCGTGTCATCTTCATTCTTCTCTATCAGATAACAAAACTTTCCAAATGTACAAGACAAATTTTGGAACCAAAACAGCCCACATACTAAGATTATTTTATGAGTAACCTCAATTTTGGCATCCACTGAATTGGAGGTCAATGATTAAGTATCAGATTACATCAAATCTTTCAGTGTCTCAGATAGCATTTGCACAAAATATAGAAAAAGATCAAAACTCAAATCCCACCACAACAAACACATCAAAGTGAAACAAGGAAGGACTGTAAAGAACGCTACAAGCACATCAACCAAACAAACTATTAAGATTGTACAAAACGAAAACAAACACACAAAAAAAAAAGCATGTATAGTTAGACAAACCTGTCTTATTGATTGAAAATTTGTTCTCATCTCCCTCAATACTCAAATAAGCCCCCATTTTTCCTCACCCGGCCCAACTCATATTCAACTTTCAACTTCCATACCCTATCAAGCCAAAGCCTAAACACTACAGCATGTTTCTTGATCACATGTTTCCTCACTTTTTGATTAAAAATGTGACAGACACTGAACTTAGAAGCTTGAATTGTGGCTCGACTCCAAGGGCATTAAGTGGCCAAACAATGGAAAGCAATTACAGACAGGAAAAGGAAGGCATAATATTTTAAAAAAAAATCCATGTAAACAATTGTTAATAAATCATTCATTGATTAATGACGAACAGTTTGTAGCAGCCAGATTAATGTAAAATCAACTGAAAACATGAAACAAAACATATATTTCCAATCAGAACTACAAGAAAGCTGCACAATTAAGTGAATAAAGAACCAATATTTCAAGAGCACTTCCAGTCTATCACATGAAAAATAGGGCACGCATTCCTCATGAAACAAACATAACGATCCTGGATAAAAAACAAACTTGAAGGCAAACAATACAAGCTGCGTAAAAGGAACAGTGCAGATACCTTTTGTGAAAAAAACCCATTACCAATCGAAAAAAGGAAAGCAAGAAAAACCCTTACCAGAAAATTCGTGAATGAGTAATTTGTAGTCGTGAAGACGACCGTCATGGTGCGTCTTTGGACGGTCAATTTCCGTGAGACCGGTGTTCGTATCTCGTATTATGCGCTTTGAGAACCGGAATTTTTTTGGACACTACTCAAACTGTGAGTTAAACTCTGCAACCTTCAGTAGCACATAAAAAGAAACCATGCTCAACTTAAAAAGGTTAAACACAATAATCAACCAACAAAAAACTTAATAATCACCAACCAATACATCCTCTTGCTGATCTCTCCTCCCATTTTCAGTCACATCGGCCAAATTCTCCACCAGATGAAAATTAAACACCAAATTAATATTAAAAAAAAAAGCCTAAATTAGCAAGGAAAAGAGATAATCAGCAGAAAGGGGGGGAATTACATGGAGGAGATGAAAGTGAGAGGCCAAAGACTGGTGCTGGTATGGCGTCGGTGGTTTCTGTTGAAAAAGCGGCTGGGATTGCGATTGCTGTTGAAATTGCTGTTGTCGATTGAATTGCTGCCGGTGAATTGGAATATGTTTTTCTTTACGTGAGGCCGGTGACTGTTTGTCGTCTCCCCCAATCTGAGAACCAAATTTTTTTGGGGGGTGGGCGCGTTCAGAGAGAATGGGTGGGCGGGGTTTATATGCAGAGAGAATAGCTTCGCTGTTATGTTTTTATGTTTGGTTAGGTGTTTAAATCATTATATATCATTGGCACTTTTATAATAGTATATATATAGTATAGATATATCGTTTTCTTTTTCTTTCACAGAACTTTTGCGTGAATTAAAGCAATTATAAGATATAAAATCTTACATTAATGTTTATGGGAGGACCTTCATCTGACACCAACAAAGATGAACCAAGTTCAAAATCATGACAAGTTTCAGTGCCGTTGCACAAGGGAGGAGTACTTGGACGATGTTTTAACTGATCCCATCTTCGAGAGCTTTCCTCATTTAATCCAAATGGCATCTCGCAATTAGGAATATAACCTTCATACGCAGCTCCTGTAAATGTCCTAGAAAGCAAACAAAGTCGTCACCATTTCTACATTGTCGTTCAACCTCATGTACTATGCTCCTCCTGAGGAAGGAGAGGCATCCTGCTTAGCACAGCATAGCGTCGACTAGCTACCGAACCAAGGGAAACCAGTCACCAAATGCAATGTTAACGGCTTCACCACAATTATAGCCTGAAAAAGAATTGAAACTATCAATATTTAAGGTAGCAGTATACAATAAAGACCCTCAATACAGTAGAAACTGAGTGGACAAACTACATGGTAAAAGTAGAGTCTGTAGATGAAGATAAATTAAAAACAAAAGGGAGAGCTTGAAATTGAATAACTCTATTAAATTAACTTGGTGAATCAACCACCCATAAGCACTCGCAAAGATCCCAAAACAGAGAACACAGAATCTATATTTTAAACGACTAAAAGAATAAAGTAGGCATAATTAGCTCCACAAAGTAAGACTTCTAAATACAGCAAGGAAAATGTAGCATGTAAACCATAAAGCTTGTTACTGAAGTTTCGTGGACAAAAACTTAAGAGGATCAAGCAAGAACTAACCAAATTGTATATTATTTTCTTAATCCTGTTTGCTTAGAAACACTCAACAGAACCATAAAGGCTAACTACAAAATTCCACCATATTTGATTAGTGAAATGTTTTTCTATAGAATCAGTACCTCCAAATTCCATCTACTTTTTCCAAGCGGATCATCTGGAGAGGATGAAAATGCTCTGCCATCAACGTCGCATGCATATTCACAACACTTTGTCTTTCCACAAGATATTTCATTGCAAAATTCTTTTTCCATGAATGCAGCAGGAAGGCATCCAGCACTGTAGTATCTACGGGCAAAAACCTTCTTCGCCATTTTCTCGAAATCACGAAAAGTGTATTTTCTGGTAAAATCATACTCGTGTTTAAAACCAGAAAAATAACTTAATTTGCATGTGTATACCAAACAAGGGAGAAAGGCACTCACATTCCACTCATGAAAAATGTGACCTTATCATCACTGTCCCATTCAGCCAAATTAAGTGCTTGTACCCTGGTGGTAAATTTGAAACCAATTTTCTCTTTCATAAGAACTATACCAGCAGGAATTAAAGCACTTAATGGAGATATAATCTTGCAGATACCTAGAGATTGAACCACGATTCCGTTAGTTGTTTATTTTGATCAGGGAAAACAAGAATGGGAAGCACACAAGAAAATAAACAAATAAATATCGGAGGTTTCAGAGCAATGCATGAATGAAGCACGGATAAACACAGAGTTGTCAAAAATTAGACTGTGATTGAGTGAACATGCTAGGGCATCTCTTTACATAGTCCAACAATACAGAAGTATCAGTAAGTTACTTACCATGAACATCTAAAACTGCAACCACTTAAAACTTCAGCAAGATTTAACTAGAATGAACAACATAATGAAAATCCATCAATGCAAGAAAGAAAATTCTCTCATCGAAAACGAGAATTCATGCATGAAATCCATATAAATTCTCGCCATTATCACCATATTTCGAGGCCTCTGAAGCAATCTATTGCAGATAAACTACAGGATCCTGGAATTCCTCCAAACATGGGCAGTACACTGGGAATTCTGAATTTATCAGTCCATTCAATGTCCATTCAATGTCAGGTGGATCAGATTGTGCCACTTTGTCCTTCGAACATCCATCTTTATCATTTGAACTGCGACCAATTTTATGAATGCATGAGAATTACTGTTAATTAACTACAACAATAAGCAACAGATTCTGTTAATTAACCAAAGGTGAACTGGCGAGATCTCAAAATACACCTCCAAAATAAAATTAAAAAAACATGGATACAACAATTGCACGTGAAATCAGCACCATTATCCTAAAAAATCTTAAGACCCATAGAGGTAAGATAAATTAAAACGTTTAACCTGAATTAGGGTTTCATTTCATTTAAGTATATATTAATTTAAATTGTGGTCTTAATTTTTAATAAGAGAGATTTAAGCACATGCGGGTCTTGTTAATTTTTAATAATATTCTTTTTGTTGTGTTATTATTTTATACAAAAATGATAGAAAAATAAAGTGAAGACAAGAATAACAACAGAAATAGAGAAATATTTTCATAATCAGCCAAACATTACGCAAACCCAAGACCTTCTCATAACGATAATCAGCCAAACATTCGCAAACCCAAGAGAACATAGAGACTAAAGAAAAAAAACAACAACACAAAAAAGAACAAAAAAAGGGAAAGATAATTCCTAACTCTTAACGATAATCCTAATCCCAGTAAGATAAAGATATAACCATAAACATCTCTCCTCCTCCTCTAACGAGGGTAACAGGCCTTCTCATGCTAGCCTTCTCATGCTCTATCAGTTTCTTGTGGCTCTCAAAGTAGTTGTAGNCACTTGTTGTGGATATGCCAAGGGCAATCCCAAGAAGCCCGAGAGCAACGGCCCTCCCTCTGAACCCTGGATTTGTCTCTACGGAGAAGGGACCAAAAAGCCTTGTGAGAAAACCTGCACGAACCCAGACAACCCTGGATTTTGTCTCTACGGAGAAGGACCAAAAAGCCTAAAACCTGCACGAACCCATACAGACAATCTACCGTGCGCCAGTGATGTTTTTCAGATTGTCTGGGTTCGTGCAAGTTTTCTCACAAGGCTTTTTGGTCCCTTCTCCGTAGAGAAGAATACGGAGAAAAATCCAGATGTCTGGGTTCGTGCAAGTTTTCTCACAAAGCTTTTGGTCCCTTCTCCGTAGAGACAAATCCAGGATTCAGAGGGAGGGCCGTCGCTCTCGCGCTTCTTAGGATTGGCCTTCTTGGGATTAGCCTTGGCTTCTTGGGATTGGTCTTGGCTCTTTGAGTATGCTACAAAGAAAATAGAAGCAGAACTTAGAAATTAAAACATTCTAAACAAACAAATTACAAATTAAAAGGAAAAACCATTAGACTACCCGCTGCTCCGACTCCAGCACCAGTTGCTCCTCCAAAAATAACAAAGGGAGCCCTAGCCCCAGATGCGGCAATGGAGGACATTTTCTTCAAAATGAAAGACATGTTTGTAGACTGTGTGTAGTGTAGTAGTGTGGTGTTTGTAGACTGAACGAAACACACGCACTCCACACACTACACTACTACACTACACACAGTCTACAAACATGTCTTTCATTTTGAAGAAAATGTCCTCCATTGCCGCATCTAGGGCTAGGGCTCCCTTTGTTATTTTTGGAGGAGCAACTGGTGCTGGAGTCGGAGCAGCGGGTAGTCTAATGGTTTTTCCTTTTAATTTGTAATTTGTTTGTTTAGAATGTTTTAATTTCTAAGTTCTGCTTCTATTTTCTTTGTAGCATACTCAAAGAGCCAAGACCAATCCCAAGAAGGCCAATCCTAAGAAGCCCGAGAGCGGCCCTCCCTCTGAATCCTGGATTTGTCTCTACGGAGAAGGGACCAAAAGCTTTGTGAGAAAACTTGCACGAACCCAGACATCTGGATTTTTCTCCGTATTCTTCTCTACGGAGAAGGGACCAAAAAGCCTTGTGAGAAAACTTGCACGAACCCAGACAATCTGAAACATCACTGGCGCACGGTAGATTGTCTGTCTGGGGTTCGTGCAGGTTTTAGGCTTTTTGGTCATTCTCCGTAGAGACAAAATCCAGGGTTGGTTGTCTGGGTTCGTGCAGGTTTTCTCACAAGGCTTTTTGGTCCCTTCTCCGTAGAGACAAATCCAGGGTTCAGAGGGAGGGCCGTTGCTCTCGGGCTTCTTGGGATTGGCCTTCTTGGGATTGCCCTTGGCATATCCACAACAAGTGCTACAACTACTTTGAGAGCCACAAGAAATTGTGAGTTTTGCTTAAATCCAGGGTTTAAGCATTGTGACTATTGTGAACGGAATGTTCTGGAATCTAGGGTGAGTTTTGCATTTTAGTTTATGTGGGCTGGGCTAAGTTGAACTCGAATGTTTAATCACTTGTGGGCTGGGTTGTAGGCGTTTCTGAATCGGATGTGCGTTGGGCTAGGGAGTGTAATGGTAATGGGCTGTGTCCAAGAACATTGGGTGGGCTAATAAATAAATTAAAATAATTCAAAAAATTAAAAATTTTAATAAATAAAAAAAAACCTGAAAACCCTAGAACCGACGCTGCCGGCGACCATGGTAGAGACCCTCAGCCGCTTTATGCCGTCGTCTAGAATCGCGCCGCCGGGAATCACCCTCTGGTCCGTTCGAAAAGCACCCACCGTCGTAACCCATGCCGTGAACCCTGATGAGTGGCCGTGGATCTTGAACAGATCTCTGGAGTGGCCGCGGATCTTGAACAGATCTCCGGCTTCGAACTGATATTAGATGATCTTGAACAGATCTCCGGCCTCGAACTGATATTAGATGATCTTGAATCCATATGGAACGAGATGAATACGTTGTGGACTTATTCATTTTTTGAGGGAGAGAGATGGTGGATTTGTTGATTGTTCGAGGGAAAGAGAAGAAGTCCTTTGAGAAGTTTGGAGAAGATCTGTGTAATGGTTGGTCGGTGTACTTTGTTAGGCTTAGGTTTGAATGGTAGGCAATGTTTGACTTTATATTGAGATAGGATTGCATAACAATTACGCATCCAACCTAACCTCACAAAAATACAAAAATCACTTAAAAAAAATAAAAGTGCTACATGTATTCCCTTTTATTTATCTACTCTCAATCAAAACGTGTCATCGTATATTTAATCCGAAGCATATCAAATTATCTATATCTATACTTATATTAAAAGGTATATCATTTACCAAATTTAATATAGAGAAAGGTTAACAACATTTATTGCATTACTATTTTCGTATTATACAATCTATACTTATATAAAAGGAGATTTTATTTACTACATTTACTATCCAGAAAAGTCAACTGCATTAAATATCATTACTATTTTGATATTATAATATTTTATTTATTTAATTAATTTATTTATTTGTTTTATTTTTAAAAAATTAGTATAATAAAAGGATTTTAATAATAAAAAATCAAATACCAAATAAAAATGTACACTTTGACTTATTTGATTATATTTGGTATTTGATTATACTAAATATATTCTTATTTAGTATATACATTAAATACTTACTAAAGTATTTAGTTGTTTTATTTGTCAAAGTTAAGTATAGATTTGTTTATATTATCAAATCATAAAAAAAATATTAAATCCATATTCCAAAAAAAATCATATAATTTTATAACAATTCTACTACACTATTTAACAATATTTCTTTTTTATTATATAATAAAATAATAATTAAATATTATATGGTGAACAAAAATAAGTAAAAATTGTTACTTTCTCTTATATTAAGGGATAAATTTATATGCTAAAATTAAATTTTTATTACCATAAATGTTTTAGTGAGATAATATATTGATTATTTTACAAACTAGCCCTAACATGCTCATATTTTTTTTTTCCAAAGTGATAGAATCTTTCATTTCATAAAAAGGTAAATACAAGCCGAGAGTCTAAATAGACTGAAAGAGTTCAAATCNAACCATACATAAGGAGGCCATCCACAAGATGCCTAGACTCCATATCACAAACACAATTGGGAATAAATAGAGGCAGAGAAGTCTGAACCCTCTATCAACCATATCTGATAAAGACACTAATACAGCCAATATAGAAACACATAACAATGAGACAGAGCCATAAGAAGTAGATGAACAAAAAGCACCACTGAACCTAAGGACCTAGCAACAATTTCTCCATCAATTATCCAGCTTTAGCAAGTCTGCCTTTAACAAATTCCTGCCAGTCAGACTGAGCAGAATTCATCACCACATAGTCAGGCATCCAAATTTGCTGAAACTTCCAAAGATTCCTGGATTTCCATAACCACCATAGGATATAGGTAGTTAATTCAATCCGGTCTTCAGATATCTCCTTCTTGCTCACAGCACAAACATCCCACCACCACTGTTTGAAGGGATCAGAAATAACAGTTGAATTCCAGCTGAGAGGAGCTAACCTCCAAACACTTTGGGCTCTACTACAATGGAGGAGAACATGTTTAACAGTTTCTATATCCTCACCACAACCAGAGCAGTATGGATCAATGTCAAGGCCCCTTTTCTTCAGATTCAAAGCAACGGAAAGAGAATTATTATAGCATTTCCAAAGAAAGTGTTTAAGTTTGGGTTTAATCTTTAATCCCTAGCTTCTACTCCTGATTTTCTTTTCCCACAAGGAAGTTGAACTACATTCAGCAATGTCAAGATTTCTAACTTTATCAGAGACCAACTTAGAGTAGGAACTAGCCACAGAGAAAACACCTTTTTTGTCCAGAGTCCACTTCCACTTATCAGCCAAGTTGGGATCAAGAGTAGTAATCTCTAGAATGGCCTTAGCATCTTCACATGAGAAACATGAAAAAATTAACTCTCTATTCCATGTTTTACCATCAGCCAAAATCAACTCAGAAACCCATTTCACAGTGTTCAGCCCAACATCAGTTTTCTCAGGTAAACCAGATGCAATGCCTGGGATCCAAGGATCTGACCACACATTAATATGCCTACCAGTTCTGACCACCACCCTGAAGTAATGTTTGAATTTGTTTCTGACTAACAACCAGTTAGACCACAACCAAGAGGAGTTATAATGCTTTTTAGCTTGTAAGACTGAGCAGTCAGGGAAGTATTTTCCTTTGAGGACTTTAGAGACCCAAGAGATTAGGATGAGAAACTAACCTCCAGAGCTGTTTAATAATCAAAGCTTCATTGAAAAGGTTAACATCCTTGAAGCCCAGCCCCCCAACCTCTTTTGGCAGAGTGATTATTTTCCACTGCTTCCAGTGAATCCCAGTTGATTGCTCTCCCTTACTCCACCAGAACCCAGCTGAGAGTCTAGATATCTCTTTGCAAATTTCTTTAGGCAGACAAAAACATGACATAGAGAAAACAGAGAGAGTACTAATCACTGCTTTCAATAAAACATCTTTACCAGCAGTAGACAAAAATTGATTTTTCCAGCTAAGCAGCCTTGATCTGACAGTATTGAGCACAAAGTCAAATGATTCTTTCTTGGATCTACCAATACCTAGGGGACGCCCCAAATATCTGGTAGACCTGTGGATATGAATACCATTAAGAATGTGACAGATTGAATTATGCTGAGAGGACAAGGTATTCTTGCTGAAAAAAATAGATGATTTCCCTAAGTTAACTTTTTGCCCGGAGAACAACTGGTATTTATGGAGAATATGCAACAAAGTATTAGCATGATGATTATCAGCCTGGCAAAGCACTAAGGTGTCATCAGTAAACATCAAATGAGAAATGGCAGGACTTCTTCTAGCAATTTTAAGACCCTGGAATCTCCCACATCTCACTTCATTCAGGAGCAATCTAGAGAACACTTCAGAGATCAAAATAAAAATGTAAGGGGAGAGGGGATCCCCTTGTCTAATGCCCCTAGAAGCATAAATATAGCCACAAACCTCCCCACTCAGATTGAAGGAGAAAGAAGCAGAAGAAATGCAAGCCCAAACCCATTTCACAAACTTAGAATGAAATCCCATTTTTAACAACACTTTCCTAACACACTCCCATTCCACCCTATCAAATGCTTTTTCCATGTCTAACTTAACCATCATGTACCCTTTTTTCCCAGATCTATGCCTATTCAAAAAGTGAACTGCTTCTTGAGCCATAACCACATTATCTAATAGCTGCCTCCCAAGAATAAAGGCAGCTTGATTAGGACTCACACAACTGTCAAGGCAAGGTTTGATCCTAGCAGAAAGAATTTTAGAGACAACCTTATAGGCAACCCCACACAAACTTATAGGCCTATAATGCTTAAGAGAGGATGGATTAAGGCATTTAGGGATTAAAGAAATCAGGGTATGGTTCCAATTTTTAAGCATAAGGCCAGATTCAAAAAAACTGAAAATAGCAGAGCAAAAATCCATTTTAATAATACACCAAAATTTTTGGAAAAACATAGGGCTCATACCATCCATACCAGGAGATTTTCCAGGTTCCAAGCTGAATAGGGCATCTTTGATGTCTTCTTCTGTGACTGGGGCAATAAAAGACTCATTCATTTCTGGAGAGATACACTCTGGGATGAGCTGCAAGATCTCATTGTCCCCATTGGAGCCTTCAGAACTAAGAAGCTTCGTGTAGAATTCACAAATGTGCTGTTGTATTCCCTCCCTCTGATCCCATACCTGATTGTTGTCATCAACAAGCCTAGAAACGGCATTCATTTTCCTTCTCTGCATGGTTAGGGCATGAACAAATTTTGAGTTTGAGTCACCCTCTTTAATCCACTGGACTCTTGATTTTTGAGCCCAGTATTCCTCTTCCTCTCTGGTGACCTTATCTAGTTGTTTTCTCAGCCTATCCCATTTGTTCTAATTTCTAGCAGCTTCCAGGGTACTCATCAAATCAAGCTCATCAGTAATCCTCTTCTTTTCAGTTACTTGATCCCTTCTAAATGAAGCACTCCATTTGAGAAGAGATATTCTAGTGGCCTTGATCTTCTCTGAAATCTGATGCATAGGGGTACCAGTTTGAGCAACATCCCAACCTCCTTGTACTGCTTCAGTCACTCCTTCTCTACATAGCCACCTCTTATCAAAGAAAAATCTCCTGGATTTCTGATCTTTTAATTGAGGATTGTCATTCAAAGAGAGCAGTCTGTGGTCAGATGAAATTCTAAAGCAACAGTCAATTAAGGCATTCTGATGTGTAGAAGGCCAGCCATAGTGTAACACCCCGCTAATCAGAGTAACTTTTTCGCAACCTTTTACTTCGATATCACTTTAACTTTTTCGAAATAA